GCCTCCTCAAACTGCGCTCCCATCGAAGTGCAAGCGGCTCCTGCAACCCCCCCCCGGGCTGCTCACAGGCCCTGGGCCCCCCCTGTGCCCACAACCCCAGCTCAGGGTGGATCCCAGTTTTGTGTGGTGCCACGGGAAAGGATCCCAGGGGGATGCCACACACCAACAGCCTGAGCTGCTGCCTGGGCCCGGCTGAGACCTTCAGAAGGAAATTTCATTCCCAAAAGAGACAGGAAAGGGGAGAGGGAAGGGAGGAGAAGCTGGTGCCTGCTCAAGGTGAGGGGCAGGACTCCAGGCTGAGCCCCCCCAGCCCTCCCGAGGAGCTCACCCCTTTGTGCCAGCTCTCCCATCCACTCCTGCACCTCCCTGAGCCCGGGAGCTGGGGAACAGGCGACGGCAGAAACAGCAGCTCCTTCCTCCGAGCAGTTCTTGGGCTGCAGCCCCTCCAGGGATGACCCTCCTGTCCCACCAGCAGAGTGGGAGACTCTGGCCAAGGCCACCAGGGAAGTCACACAGGGAGCTGGCACTGGTGTCTGCACTGACCAGGCTCCTGCTGCCCCTTGGAGATGGAAGGTTCATTTTCTCTCTTCCCACAGACCTTCTCCTCCCGTTGAGGTTCCTTCATGCCATCCAACTCACAGCCAGTCAAGACCAAGAGGAGGGAGGTGGCCAGCAGACCATCCCAGCCTGGAATCTCTTCGGGGACATCCCAGCATCCTGGATGAAGCCAGGGCACGTGCCTCCTGCTGCTGCTGGATCCAAACACCCACCCTGTGGAGCAGGAGGATGCAGGCAGAGCAGAGGGAGGGAGGGATCTGGTCAGGTCCTGGCTGTGAGCAGGTTAATTCAGGGAGCAAAAAGCCAGCATGGGGCTGGGCAGGGGGGTCCTGGTGCAAAACCAAGCTGGGTGAGGGGCTACCTTGGCAGTGAGGCTGCACCTCAGAAGCACTGCCCAGGCTGGAGCTCTGGGGGCCAGTTAGTAGCTTTTTTTTTTTTTTCTTGCTTGCTTTTTTTTGTGGTAAAACAACCAAATTTGGGAGGGTGATGGTGAGGTTAGTCTGTCCAGGTGACTCACTGGGGGGGGGGGTGAGTGAGTAGGGAGGGGGGAACAGGCCACCTGCAGGGTCCCGAGGTGCTTATCTTAAATCCAAGAACAAAGACAGAAAAGTGGGAGCAGGGAAGGGAAACAAAAGGAGGGGGAGGCTCCTCATGTCTCCTGTTTTCATCCCAGCAGAGCCCTGGGGCTCCAGACGCCCATCCATGGGGTGGTGGGGTGATCAGCCCTAGTCCTACTTCTGGCTGTTGTAAGCTTTGTGCCTCTGGTTCATGGGGTTCTCTGGAGACTTCATCCACTCCTTCTTGAGGAGCTGCTTGAGCTGGGACAGGCGCATGTTGGGGTTCTCCTGCTTCAGGCGGGGCAGGTGAAGCTCCTGGAAGGAGCCAAAAGCCGCTTTCATGCGGCGCTCGGGGTGCCGGTCGGCGTCAGCAACGCTGCCAGGAGGGAACACAGAGGGAGACACGGATCAGAGACACCCCCCTGGCCTCCCTCCCTGTCCGTGCCACCACCAGGTGCCCACAGAATGGCCTGGGTGAGGAAGCAGAACACCCCCCGCAGGTCTCTCCACAGAGGGACATGCCCTGATTCTGCGCTGGGGATAGAAAGTCACAGCCAAGGGGTGAGAATCTGGGGGAGGATTCTCTGCAAGAATCAAGAAACTCCTTCAAAGGAGGGTGGGGCTCCAACGTGGGCACATACCTGAGGACAGCAATGGCATCTTCAATCGTCCTGGCCTCCACAGACCCCTCCTCCAGCACCCTTCTGTTGATGTTCTCTTCCAAGGGGACCTCCAAGTGAGTCTTCTCCTTCTCCACTGCCCAGGGAGGGAGAGGGAGGAAGAAACATTAACACCGAATCCAGCCTGTGCAGAATGCCCAGAAGAGGGACACACTTTTCCAAAGCTCTCCAAAGAAAGTGCTGGGGAAACTGCCTGAGTTCAGGCCCAGCCCTGGGAGACAAGTGTCCCTGCTCTGCTCCCCCCACCCCAAGGTGACAGGAGGTCTCATCTTCCCCTCGTGGGTGGTGGTGGCCACAGGCAGCACGGGACAGCTGCAGGCAGCCTGGTGACAGCAGGTGACACAGGAGCAGCCCCCCTTCCCACATCCCAGCCCCCTGGGCCCTCAGGGCCTTCCTGTGGTACCACCAGACCTGTATCTGCATTCTCTTTCTGCTGCTGGTCTTTCCTGATGGTCTCCTCGATCTGGGCCCTGGTGACTTTGCCTGGAGTGACCTGCTTGGGTGACTTTCCTTTCAGCTTGGAGTCCTCCTCCTCCAGCAGGCGCTGCAGCTCCTTCTTGCGCTCCAGCTGCTCCAGCCGCCGCTTCTCCCTCTCCTCCTGGAAGGCAGAAAGGACCTGGTCACCCCCATCCTCACCCTCCCTAGGAGCAGAGAGCTCCAACACTCCCTTGGAGGAGCAGGACTTGGGCAGGAACAGGCTCCTCACTCCTGTACCTAAGGCAGGGCTGACCCCATCTTACCAGAAGAGACCTTGGTTGGTCCCCCCTAGACCTGCAGTGGGACAGTGAGGACCTGGCCTGGCCCTTCAGGATAAGAATTCCCCCCTCCCTGACCACATCCAGGTGCTGGGATCAGTGCAGGGAAACCCAACCCTGCCATCGAGAGGGCACTGAAGGCACCAGCCAGAGCTGCTGACAGTCAGATGAAGTTTTCCACTTTAATTTTAATAAGTGGTCTGGGGTTGAAAGTTCAGCAGTTGTTCCAGACCAGCCAGTCCAGGGGCTGAGCCATCCCAGGCCTGGCTAAAGCTCCTCCCAGGAGCTGGGGCAGGTGCTTAGACTGGCTCCAACAAGCCACACAGCTCTGGTGGTGATTTTCAAGTGCTCCACAAGGAGTTTTAAGAGCCACTTTGCCCTCTAAGGGGCAGCGAAGGGGAAGACAAGAACCACAAAACAGGCCCTTAGAGGCTTTCAGCACTTTGGCTTGGAGGCTTTTTCCTCCCCTCCTCTCCCGAAGGACTGGCAAAAAGAAGTATCTTCGTTTAGGGCAACATCACGTGCTTCATCTTTAGCTGTTACATGGATGCTTAATTATGGCTCTGATCCATTATGGACAGGGATGGCACAAGGAGCTAATGGAGCATTAAAGGTCAAAGGCAACAACCACCCCAGCAGCAACACAACCTGCCCTCCCTCCTCATCTGTGTTTAAGGAGCAGATTCCTGAGTTTTGGGGCAGGGCAGCTGGGGTTGGAGACCCCAGGGGCTGAGGTTGGAGGCTCCATTAAACAAAAAAAAGCAGGTAAGTGACTCCACAGCTCAAGAGTTAAAGGAAAAACTCATCAAAACACACACTCAAAGCCCAGAGATGCTGAATCAAAACAGGCCCTGGGGCTGCTGCTGCTGCCATCAAGCACAGCAAGGAGCAGGGGAGGGAAACCTACCTCCACCCTGAGCTGCTGGGGCCAGGGATGGGGAAAAAAAGCCATTAGAGGGATGAAGCCTTTATTGCAACTGGCAGGCTGCAAATCCTTGGTCATTAAGCCCTCGGTGCCAGTGCCTTTGTGACACGATGCCCCAGCAACTGGACCGTGCAGGATTTCAAAGTGCAAACTCATTTATTTAAGACACCCACTTTCCCTGCCTGCAGCTCCCCTGGCCAGCCTCTCCCTCTTCTGGTAAAGGTTGAGTAAACAAACCAACCCACCTTCCCAGAGGAGGAAGGATTTTGGCCACTCCTGGAACTGGCAAAGTGTCACGAGAGGGGAGAGAAAACTGTCTTATCCCCCCCCCAAAAAAGATATTCACAGGGATGTCGTTGAGCAGCAGCAGCTGCAGGTGCTTTGCCCACCCCACTCAGCACAGGGCAGCTCTGGATGGGATCTCCAGCTCAAGCACCAGGCAGTTTTAAGGCAGAATCTCCCCAAAACTACAGAGCTTAATGTGCCAAAACTGAAGGGCCACAGAAACCAAGGGGGGTTCAGCAGCCAGAGTGACAAAGGTGTTTAATTAGATGAAAAGCACATGCAAGAGAAGCAGCACTGGGAATGTGGGGTGCTGGGATGGTGTCTAGAACATGGGCAAGTGCAAAGAAACTGTCCCCAACTGCTTGTCCTGTCCCTGAGGCTCAGGGGTGACTGGACAAGGAAACCCAGAGAAGATGCTGGCACCTCAGAGGTTGGGGCTTGAATAATTCAGGAGCCAGATAAGGAGAGAATACACAAGTCCTAATGACCTGAGGGAAGGGAGAGAGACATTTCAGAGCAGAAATGTTATTTATAGTTAGGGAAGATTATCTTTTACCCCTGCTTTGACAGAAAGGGAACTGTCCTCCAAGGCAGCCAGCTCAGCAGCTTGTCACACTACACAGCCCAGCTGGGACAACACATCTGACCGAGCAGAAACTGAAGGGTAAAGCTCTGCTGCCCTCAGCTCCTTCCAACCCAAACGCCCCAAAGAGGACAGAGCAACAGGGAAAGAGGCCACAGAACCTCCCTCCTGCCCCATGTGCCACAGGGGACCTCCAGTTCCTCCTCTCCCCTGCTGCTGGGGTGAGTTACTCCCTGCTCTCTGGCATTTACCACCGAGTTTCTATTTGTGGAGAGCAAACAAGCTGGCCCTGTCACTGCTGTGTCACAAGACCTGCCAAACCCACCCTCTCAGGTTTCTCCAGTGGCCCCTCACGTCCAGGTTTGCTCCACACCTGCCAGCAGGTTCAGAAGCAGCTGGCTGCTCGGGGGCCTGAGGCTGGTTTTTTTTGGAGACCTTCCTCAGGTTGAGCCAACACCAACCCCAGTCCTTTATGAATCAGCTTAAATGTACTGCTGAACAGAGAGGCTTGGGGTTGTG